TATGAGAGTTAAGGTGGACTTTGGTGCATTTTTGAGAGAGAAAACAGAGATGTTAAAATAGGGAGGCAAACCCCTGTACCTAAACTGCATCAAAGCCACATCTACCCAAGACCATACTGGATTAGACATTGTATAGGTATCCTCGGCAATTGGCAGTCAACTAGAATACTGGCCCAGATTTTACTGTTAGCAGCGAAGCAGTTGTGTTTGCCATGCCTGCAATTAAGAATAGGAGCTTGCAAAGTTAGCTGGGAGCAATGAGAATTTCAACTTCTTGCAGGGGGACTGACTGCTGGGTAGAAGAGATGGATAATTTGACAATGGAGGTGCTGGGTGAGACTAATTAATTGGTTAGGTGTGGATCTGGGAAGAAGAGGGGACTCTTGGGCTTGCTGCACAAACCACCCTTCACTGCCGCTAACACCTCCAGCTCCAACACCTATCTGTCAAATTACTTTGAATGCCCACTCACTGCAGATTAAAATCAAGAGGCCAGAATTGGAGGAAAAAAGAGAATAAAATGTGATTGCAGAGTTAGGAAGGGGCAAAATGATGCAGCATCTGAAAACAATGTTGCAAATTTTGAGGCTTTGCTGAACCTGGAGACAACATAAGTAAGCAAACATAAGTATGAGGGGCAAATTGAGCTTAATAAGACTTAGGATAAAGGCAGCAGGGTTTGGATGAGCTCAAGTATACAATGCATTATGAAAGCAGTAGAAAAGATAGATGTGGAGTCAGAAAGCATGAACCAGGGGGTGGAGATAGATGCTATTACAGAGACTGAAACACATGAGCTTGGTGCATTGAGCAGATATGGGGTCCGAAGCTCAGTTCAGGATCAAGAATATCACCAAAGTTGCAAATGTTCTAAATCAGCCATAAGGGCAAGGAGGGGAATGAAGTTAATTGATAGGGAATACAATCTGTGGTGAGGATTGAAGCCATTGACTATATTGTCAAATTTAATTCGAGGCTGTTTCTGATCATTTGATACTTCAAGTTGGACAAACAGCATGACAGATAGCAGTGAAGTGGTTGATAGAGATTCTGGTGATGTCATCCACTACAGCATCAATTTTTAAAATTTATTCATGGAAATTGAGTGTTGCTGGTAGGAACAGCACTTACTGCCTTTATTGTCTGAGGGAAAGTTTTGTGAACCGTTGCTGTTCGTGTCATGTAGGAACACCTGCATTGCTGTTAGGAAGTGTGTTCTAGGAATTTGATCTCTGTCTCCAACTATAGTCTGCACAGTGATCCGTGGTATGGCATTCATTATCCCAATTCCCCTTTTATTTTAGGTACAGTACCACATGTCCAACTATGAAAAATATCGAAAAAGTGGAAATTTTCTCTCTGGGAAATAGCCAACGTTTACAACGTTTATCTAATTTGCCCTTTTCTGTTGTATTCATTGTTTGTATTCAGCAGTTGTCCTAGACTCGACTTTTCATAATCCAATTCTTTCATGGAATGAACCTTCCATTAAAAATGTGTGATTTGAACATAGACTAGGAATTTATTGTGGGGTCTCATGTGCTACGGAAGGGGTAGTCCAAAATTCAGGAAAATCTGCATTTGGGTATGGTTTTGGTCTGGAGACTACCTGATTTCAGACTTGGACCTGGACTTAAGCTCACTTGATTTGATTGTCCTAATAATACAAATTCTCTGAAGCCTCTGGGTAGGTAGGTTTGAACTAGGTTGCTTTCAGAAGCATATTGAGAAGCATACGTTAATAATATTTAGCTTTGTTTCCTTATGCAATATGGTTAGATTTAGTTCAGTCAAAATTCACTCAATTTATCATTCAGAAAAGAAATTGAACAAGATCCTGCTTGAGCAGAGAGATATAGGTTTAAAATGACCAGATAACTAGACTAGGTCTCCAAAAATGATGTTAGCCAAGAGGGTTCACCTATTAATAGCTATTTTTTGACCCCATCAGGATTTACCAGCATGTAATGGACCTACCTTGTGTTGAGATTGCATCTATATCAAGGCAATTCCCTGGAGGAGACAATATGTTCCAGAGGCTCCATCCTCCATGGACAGGCTCCTGTCACCAATGGTTGCTGAAAGAATGCCTGTAAAATCCCAGCCTTGAAATCACAGTGAGCCAGACAGAGCTCCACCCACTAACAGCCAATTTAGGATTATCAGCTTCCTCATAATGTGGCTCACGTACCCTTGCTAGGAGATATATACTCATACGCAAAGACGTGTCAACTGCAATAAAAATTGTTGCATCCTTTGAAATTTGATATTCTTGAGTCTGTCCTGGTGACTGCAGACAAAAACTTCAACAGTATGTCTCTTTTCTTAGCAATACTCAAGTTCTGTAGCACCAAGTGATTGAAATTGCTACTAAAACAGAAATTCCTGCTAAAGCTCAGCAAGTCTGGCAGCATCGGTGGAGATAAATCAGAGTTAACATTTCGGGTCGTGTGACCCCTCCCAGAAGAAGAATCACTCGACCCAAAACATTAACTGTGATTTCTCTCCATAGATGCTGCCAGACCTGCCAAGCTTTTTAAAGCAATTTCTGTTTTTGTTTCTGATTTACAGCATCTGCAGTTCTTTCAGTTTCTATTTTGACTGAAATCATTGAGTTGGATTTTAAGGGAAAACCAATAGATGCAATATATTTGTATTTAAAAGTGTATTCCAAAAGGTGCTATACAAGAAGTTATTACACAAATTAGGATCTTAAGGATTGGGGATTTTATTTTAGCCTGGAGTAAACATTGGTTAACAACAGAAAACAGTAGGAATAAATGGTTTAGTTTGAAGTTGGCATTCTGCAACAAGTGGAGTTGTGGATCTGAGCTGGGGCTATAGCTATTTAAAATCTACATCAAAAATCTAGATAAGGGAGTCAGGTGTAAGTTTGAGAAGAAGTCAGGTGGAAAATCTGCAAGCAAGACATAAAGATGCTGCAAAAGAATTTGGAGCGGTTAACTTGAAAGTTAACCTTGGTTGATGATATATGTGGAGAAATGTGAAGTTGTTCCGTTTGGCAAGAAAGATAGAAAATCAGGATATTTTTAAAATGTTGATAGAGTAGAAAATGGTGGATGTTCATGGTATCTGGGTACACTTGTACATGCATTAAATAATGTTTATATGCAGGCACAGGAAGCAATTAACAACCAAACAAATTGTTGGGTGATACTGTAAAGGAAATAGCACACAAGGGTAAGGAGGTTTCTTGTAATTTTGTATAATGTTGACACCACATTTTGAATACTCTGTGCAGTTTTCATCTCCTTACCTAGGGGAAGGTGTGCCTTCCTTACAGGAAGTGCAATGAGGTTCTCAAAACTGACTCCTGGGATAAGGGAATTGCCCTTTGAGAACAGATTGAGTTAATGGGGCATATATTCCCCAGGCAAATGTTAGGGATGTTAGTAGAATGAGAAGTGACCTTATTGATACATGAAACTCATAAACAGCTTCGATGATGCGTGTCCTGGCTGGGGAGTTTGGAATTGGAGGTACACAGTCTCAGAATAAGGGGTTGGCAACAAACATAGAGATTGCTAGAGAAACGGCAGCATCTGTGGAGAAATAGATAGAGTTAATGTTTCCAGTTCAGAGACTCTTCATACTGGACTTGAAATGAAGAGTCACACTGAACTTGAAAGATTAATTTTGTTTCTCTCCCTACAGATGCGACAAGACCAGCTAAGTTTCTCAGGCATTTTCCATGATTCTTTCAAAATTCCAACATCTGCAGGATTTTGCCTTAATTATAAGGCGTCATCCAATTAGGACTAAGGTAAAGACAAATTACTTCATGCAAACAGTTTGAACCTGTGGAATTCTCAACCTCAGAAAGATCTCTCTGTTGATGCCAAAATATGTTCAAGTCAGAAATTCACAGACTTTTGATAGTAAGGGAATCTAAAGATTTATGGACAGCGGAGGCAAGTATATCTGAGGTGGAAGACCTTATTGGCTGGTGGAGCGAGCTTGAGGGACCGACTAGCCTGCACCTGCTCTGTGTTTCATATGTTCCAATGTAAAACAATTTGGTTTGCACATGGTTAAGGATACATGGAATGTTAATGTACCTTGTGAGCAATGTAATAACAGATTGTAATAAATTAGTGTCTGACTAACAATCTATATTGCAGAAACACAAAAGGGCAAATTTTCCTGTTTGGGACTGGAGAGGTGTGTTATATTTTACTTGTTTGAATTCTGTGAAGATGATGTTTTAATACTGTGGATACTGAAGATTTGAAACAAAAACAGAAATTGCTGGAGAAGCTCGACAGACCTGGCAGCATTTGTGGACAGAAAAGACAGTTAGTGTTTCAAGTACAATAGCCCTTCTTTAGAACTGATAATATCTCGGAAAAAGTGGTATTTATCTTGATGACAAAGGTGGAGGAGGGTATGAGCTGATAGGTGAAATGGAATCCAGTTTTGAAGAAGATGCTTACGTGATGTTTTCACCCTTTCTTCTGTTTGTGGCAATGAACTTCAACCACAAGTCTAAAACATCATCACGCCTACCCTTACCAGGCAGTGTAGCTAAAATACAATGTAAATCTAAGCTTAATTGCAGATTTCTCAGGAGAACCTCCAAGATGGGATCATTTGGTTGCTGAGAATGATGAGTGATTCAAATGTACCTGCAATTTGAATTAGCAGTTGCAAAGGACTGTTAGCGAAAATTGATTTTACGTGCATTTGGTCAGGTTTCAGAGCAGGTCATTATAGCATCAAGTATTAGCTGTCAGAGAATATAGCACGAGTAGCCAAAGTAAAATGAGACGGGAGGGTGGGAATGCACTGCAAGGGCCAAACTCAGTCACAATCCATACAGCATCTCCAAAAACCTTGGCTAGCATAAAGAAATGCATGTCATGCATCAGTGTCCATTTCCTCAATAGAAAAAGAAATTACCCTTTGTGCATCGAGGACTTTTTACTAATAAATACCTATCTTTCCAACAATAAGTCTTAGATGGAATATCACCTTAGTACCTGTTTCAGTGTTTGAAGGCGCTGTTGAGCCGTTGTCTTGGCAATAAAGGTGTGACTAGTTCCAGGATTAGATTCAAGGTTCAATGACAGACCTGAGACGAGTTCTGCTCTGAGGTCAGTAATGGTGACTTTATCATCGGCAACAATCAGTGGCACTTCCCCCAGTACAACCTCCATAAGTGGAGAGACAACCTGAAAAAATTAAAAGAATACCAAGTATGTAGTGCAGATATATTAAACATATCTAGACATTATAGCAGAGATCAGAGTATGGAAATTCTTCAGGATAAATGTATATGACTACTACTAATTCAACGTTAAATGACCAATCTTGACAATAAGCCACAAAAATAGATTGTTTAATAAAAAATGAAATTTCAAACCCAATCATAATTATAGCCGTAGTAGCACATTTAGACTTGCATACACTTCCAAATGCTGCTTTTGTTGCTCCACAGCAACTGATGTTGAACTTATAGAGAAGTGAAGCTCAGATGTGTTATTTTGGAAAACTTTGAACATTTACATTAACAATTATATATTTGGTTAATTTGAAATTGTCATCCTCCAAAAGCACTCCCAGTCCACAATGGCGTTCTACAGCACACTACCTCCCAATTATAGGAGCACTCTGCCCCTTCAACAGCTTTCCTTATGTGAGTAAGAATGAAACTACATTTATAAAAGTCAATACTTCTTATTTCTTAATAACATCAGCAAAGTTTTTGGAAGTCTGTGGGTGGAATTTAATAAGAGTGCAGCACCCAACATCAGAACTGGATGTGGGTACCACCTCCACCCACATGTCAGTTGCCACAATGTTCGTAATCGCAATCCAAATCATAAGAGCTATAAAAGGTCCATGTCTATGAGCATCTGGTCTCTGCAGACAGAGAGAACTGGAAACCAGTTTACAGCAAGATACTTTACCTGTGTAAGGATATTAAGCATTTTGTTGTGATTCTGTGTGTCCAATTCACTTGACATTTTACAGTAACTAAAAATACATTTTCATTGTCAAATTATTCGTGTGCCAGTTAGAATGTATGCTAATATGTGGAATGGGAAAGCATGGGAACAATGAAGCTAAGTTGACTTTCTAATTTGTCATGCAGCTAAAGGAGACTTAATGCCACGGAGAGGGCCAAGACTGGACGACGATTAGCAAATTACACAAGTGGAGGAAATCATGGATTTTACAGGTGAGCAAGGCAGCTAACTCAGTGCAGGTGGAAAGGTTGGATTAGTCAGCCAGCAGAGTGAGGATGCTTTCAACCTAGTGTTGTGACGTGCGTAGATTAGAGATTTATGTTAAACTGTGGTTTAAAGTTTTTGAGAAGATTTGTAGCTCAGATTGTGGATGAGGTTGTAGACATGCTTGCCGAGCTGGTGGGTTTGTTTGCAAACGTTTCGTCACCCTGCTAGGTAACATCATCAGCGAGCCTCTGGTGAAGCGTCAATGTTCTGTCCCGCTTGTTATTTATATGCCTTGATTTGCTGGGGTGATTGGTGATACTTCCTGTTCTGTTTCTCAGTGGTTTGTACACAAGATGTAATTCACTGTGTTTGTTGATGGAATTCCTGTTGGAATACTAGGTCTCCAGGAATTCCCTGGCGTGTCTCTGTTTGGCTTGTGCAATTATGGATGCGATGTCCCAGTCGAATCATGTCCCTTGTCGTCCGTGTGTAGTGAGACAACTGAGATTTGGTCGTGTCTCTTGGTGCTAGTTGGTGCTCGTGTATCCATATTGTCAGTTTTCTTCTGGTTTGGTCTTGCATGGTATTTTGTATATTACACTAGAAACCATCCCAACGCCTGCATCAGTACACTATTTAAATGAGCCACAACACACTGCAGCAACCAGAACTATGCAAAGCAGAACAAGAGTACCTATACGGAGTCTTCAAAAGGAATGATACCCGAAAAGCACAATCAGCCGTTACTTCCGAGACAAATCACGACAGGAAGACACAACACTACTAGGACTCACTAGTCAACCTACCATACATCATTTAGAGGTGACCACAAGACTACTCAGACCGTTAAGTATCAGAGTAGCCCGCAAACCAACAATCATCCACAACAGCTACTGACGAACGTAAAGGAATTCCAAACCCAAAACCAGCAAAACATCCATAATTTCACAAGCCAAACAGAGGGACCTGGACCAAACAGACCTGGTATTCCAACTGGAAGTCCATCAACAAACACATTGAATTAGACCCTGTGTACAAACCACTGAGAAACAAAACCGGAAGTATCACAACCACCCCAGCAAACCGAGGCATATAAATAACAAGCGGGGACAGAACAGCGATGCTTCACCGGAGGTGCACTGATGATGTTACCTAGTAGAGTAACAAAACGTTTGCAACCAAACCACCAGCTCAGCGAGCATGTCTACAACCTCAAACTGTGGTTTCCTGATAGACTGTGCTTCTCCTGATAAGATCCGTCTCGTTCTCTACTGCAGGTTTTGGCCATGTGCTGAAGGGCTCAAGCCCATGTGGAAAATGATATTTTCACTTCTGTTTATGAAGACCAAGTACACTAAGAGGATTCACTGTCGTCTGCCTCAACCAAAGCAGTTATACTCACATAGATCTTGGAGGGTACGTGGATTAGTTCAGGGGCACAGACTGGTGATCACATCATGGACAACCTCCCACAGCTAAGTGGGATTGCCAAGTTGAGTTCTTGAATGTGGAAGGACTGCTTGAAATCAGGCCCTGCTGAGCCCTGTACTATTTTCCCAGGTGACAATTTCTTGTAGCTTTTGGTATTTGCCACCTCTACCAACGTACGGTACAGAGTAAGGGTTATTCAATTAGTTCACTGCCACCAATTCCCCTTTGTCTTGAGCATATCAATTAATGTGTTGTGGAGGATAAACCACCATAAGGTATCTACAGAAGAGGTATATTTCTTAGATAACAAGATTTATTGTTGGATAGCAATAAGTATAACATTATTTGGTCAGACATAATTACGAGGACTTTAGGGAGCTGGTCAAGATATGTCTGCTCCCTTCAAAAACTAGCAAACAAATTTCTCCTCATTGAGATGGTGAGAAATCATGCGTGAGTCAGAAAGATCAGATTCTTGACATTAAGAAAGTCTCTCCTGTTAAAGTCTTCATGTGGTGCGTTCAGAATCTCACTGTCAGGTTGCAAAGAACTTATTTCCATGCGCTTGCATTTTACTCACAGCCTGATTCATTGTATTGACATCGTACTCCTGATATACCTCTGCACGACTGAGAAACCTGATGGAGCAAAAACTCAACAAGTAAAACAGAGCTGGTGACTTGTTTCAACACTGCTGATTGTTGGTCACAGAATGGCTGTGCTGGCCATCCAACTTCCCCTTATATGGTATCACTTCCTCTGTACACATTGCCTCCAAGATCAATGGTTACATTCTTCCTTCAACCTTAATCTATTCAACTTGGCATTGGCAAAGCACCAGCCTCACAAAATCAGCTTGCTTGGCCTCTCTTAACTCAGCATGGACTTCAGGGCTTCAAATATGCACTTTAGAACTGATGAAGAGCCAGTAATTGCATCTTATAACAGGACATTTTGCATTGAGAAAGAGCCTGGTATATTATGTATTTAGTCAGATATTGTCTGTGTCTTAGTTTACTTCAAAGCATGCAAGGTAGGGGTAGGTAGCCTCTGTGTCTTATCATGTTTGTTAGCATAGAAGGTCCTTTGAGCTGACTTAGATGCAGGCTGTCTGTGGATTAGTTTGCTTTTTAGTGAAAAAGAAGAGGCAGACAGCTTGCAATAGCTGGGTCCAGTGAAGAGAGTCAATGGACAAATGCCGTACAGCACAGAGCTAAATCAACATTAAATGCTGCCGCATACACTAGCAGTTTACGTAACAAACAGACTTGCATATGTTTGAAGAAAATGGGGGTGTGAAAGTCAAAAGGGACAAGTGTTCAGTGGGCTACGGGTAGACTCTAGTCGATGAAGGGTTATTGTCACAGTTAGTCATGGGCATGGTCTGATTCCAGTCCAGGTTGTTGGCTACAGCCAGTCAACTGCCACCAGTTATTTGGTAGGTCAAGTAGGTCAGTTGGAGTGCTGTTGAGATCAGTTGACTGGAAGTGGTTTGGTCAAATTTTATTGGAGCTATCTTGCCAAGTACGTTTGGGGTTGAGATGGTAGTGGGGAGGGTGGTGGTGCCTTGGTCGTTCCTGTGGGCTTGTTTGCTAATTCTGAGGTGCCTTCACAGGTACTCAGTTCGTGGTGCCCTGGAAACTGGTTAGCTCAGTTGGTTAGATGACTAGAGTGTGATGCAACATAAAGCCAACAGTGTGGAGTTCAATCGGTGTGCTGGCTGTGTGTGGTTCATGGAAGACTCACTCTTCACCTGGCCCCCATGCTTGTGGAGTGGTTACCCGCAAGCTAAGCACAACCAATTCTCTCTTGCCTATGGAAAGAAGTGCTGATGGTACAATGTACTCAATGGCTGCACATTTTACTATGGCATCCTGGAGAAAGTGGGCATCTCACATCTGAGATGAGCCTTATTTTACTGCATTGTTGAGGGAATGGGGTTGCTGATAGAAGGCAATTGAAGACAACAGTGTGGGGCTTTGATAGTGAATCAGAAGAGATGAGGAGCTCTCGAAGGGTGTTTCAAACAGGTCATGGTTACTCGTACCTCTACATGGGGGGTGGGGGGTGGGGAGGTGGGTGTGGAACCAGCAAGGGCACAGACCTTTAGAGTCATGGGATCTGTGAGTAAAGCAGGCACGTTAATTGCAATATAAAGAAGTTGGACTGAATCTTGAGGAAGCTGGTATTGGTGGTGGAAGTTCGAGAGGGAAGAGAGACAGGGGATAACAACATGAAAGAAAATGTGAAGAATTGGGTGGTTATTCATGGGTCACAGGCAAAGCCTGCTGTTCAGTTATGTGAACACAAAATTGGAACCTCACTTTAATTGACCAGAAAATCAGTTGTGCAAAAACATCAGAAAATGGCTGACACTGTATTAAAAGTAGGTGGACTAAGTCACTCTTTTCCTAGGAGGTTAGATTTTGCATCATTTTTGCGGCACCTCAAGAGGCAATTGCAGTAATCATGCCTCTACTGATTAAGTAATGCTACCTCCTTGCCTTCAGATCTTATTTAATCTGGATGTCAATAATTCTGCAAAGACTGCAGATAACAAATAA